CACTGGGAACAATGCTTTCTGGGTTTCCCCTTCCTCCCTCACTCATTTTGCTTATACTTTTCCCTCCAAATCACCATTAGGTAGAGAGCTGAGCCTAAGTGCCAATGAGCCTAAAAGGTGAATATTGTGTGGAGAAATATAGGAAACTATAATGTAAACAATGTTGCAGTCTTTACTAGATCGGTCCCTACCACCAGTTGCAATGATAATCGGAAACTAATTGTATATTTAAGACTTAAAGTGGCATTTGACAGATTTTAAATGTTTATCATACTGACTAGGTGACTCACTCCAGTTATAAATATCTTTTTTTTTTTAAATAAATGGAGATATATCCTATCTCCTAGAACTGGAAGGGACGTTGGGTCATTGAGTCCAGTCCCCTGCCTTCACTAGCAAGATGGAGTACTGATTTTGCCCCAGATCCCTAAATGGCCCCCTCAAGGATTGAACTCACAACCCTGGGTTTAGCAGGCCAGTGGTCCAACCACTGAGCTATCCCTCCCCCCTACACTTCTCACCTTTAATGCTGTCAGGTTTTACTATGAAATCCTATCTTAATGCCTTTAGCTCTTTACAGTGAGTCCTGTAACCTGGAACACTGAATACAGAAGGCAAACATGATATGGAGGAGGGATGTCAGATTATCTTGTAAAAGCAGAAAAGTAGCAATCTTTAATTGTTCAAAATTTAATGGCTTTGGTGCTTTTCTTCTGCCCTCCCAATTAGTGTTGCAAAATGAAGACAGTAAGATTGTGCTGGGGTACAAAATTCTGTATTTTAGAAGCTCTGTGACAGTTTCCATGCCTAGACCTGCAGTTTCCTTTAAAAAAAGTGCTTTCTATTTTAAAACATCCCCAGTATGAAACACTAAACTTTTATCTTTCAAACTGAGGGTTTCAACAAATTTAACATCTCAATTTCTAGGGTGGTTTGGTTGCACAGTAGCTTCATTTCTCTAAAACTGTTGCTGGTTCTGTTCTTTTGAGCTGGAAAGTGTTTTGAAAGTTGCTTTCCAAAGAGCTCAGAAAGCAGACTGTTTTGACAATTTCAGTTCCTTCAGTGAAGCTGGCAGGAGAGAAAAATGAGGCATGCTTATGTTTTTAATCCAAACACACAACACAGCATACTAGTGGATGGTTTAATGGGAAACTCAGTCTAGTATTTGGGATTTACAACCTTTTGTTTGGATCATGGACAAGTCTTTTAATATTGGTGGATGTTTTGAAACTGAATGTCAGTTTTAAGACAGAGTCCAGTTTGGGGCTTATGAACTTTTACCTTGTCTGTTGTTTTAACCAAAAACAACGTATATGTCATATCACAGCCTTTTATAAAAGCAGAGAAACGTTTCTGTGTTTTTATACTTCTTGGGTATTGTTATTTTGTAATGAATTGCATCAGCTAAAATGTTGTTTGTAGTGTTAGCACAATGTTAGAATTGTAAGGATTGTTTAATTAATGTCATAATTATATTTATCTGGGTTACATAATCAAAGTAGTATGTATCTTATGTGACTTCATAACAATAAATAACCTTACTTTTTTTTTAATAAAAGGAAGAAAACAGGTGGTTTTATTTAAGGAGAAAACTTTTTCTGCTGTATTATTGTAAAAGCGGAATTTTCTACTCAGTTTACTTTTACTTCCCTTCATTTTGCAATGGTACTTGTAAGGGTTGAAATGTCTACTTTTTTGCTTCCTCTTTATATTTCTGTGATACTCATTGATAGTAAATTAGGAGAATTAGTGATGCCGAGATAAATCGGCTACCTTCCCTCTGACTACCTCTTCACCATTTTTAGAGTATCGTGCTCGGTTTCTGAAAAGTGCTTTTCAGTTTGAAAGAGAAAATTGAGAAGCAATTTTGCTCATAATCTGTCGATATTATGTGGGGATGTATTTTTTGTTCACTCAAGTATGTTTTTCCTCTCAGTGCATCCTTGTAATGCTCACTATTGTTCATAGGCATTGTGTGTGCATCAAATAACATATCCCTTTGTTTCTACAAATTCCTGCCTTAAAACATAGTTTGCATGATCAGAAATAGCTTCTTATCTTCCTTATTTTAACTTTAAATGGTACTATGGATCCTTTTGCAAGTTTTCTGTAAAATATTTTTCTCTATTGATGTTCTATAATTGTTTTGAAATACTGTCAAATGGACTCTGAGTTTTGACATGTTATATCATGTATGCCTGCCTTGAAGGGATACAGTAATTTAAGCTCAAAATTTGACCCACCTTGAAGCTTTTGATAAAGAATATCTCCAAATGCTAAATATCTTTTTTGTTCTAGATTAGAGATTTCACCACACTATTGCAAAGGAGGTGAAGGGTTGTTTTGTTTTAAACCAGCTATTATTTACATTATGTTGGCCTAATACCAGAGAAGCACTTCATGATGTTTTACTCCCTCAGGTGACTGTTCAGAAGCAGTCAACTACAGAACATTACTCTTGAGAATGGCATTGCTCAAAGAAGGAAATATATTTTTTTAAAGTGTAAATTTTGTCTCCACTAGAAAAGCCTAGGGAAAATAAAAGACATAATGATTAGAGGGGGAAATTGGTTGTAAGCTTTCAACAAGTATCACCAAAGAATAGAGACTAAATTAGAAAAGACAAAGAGCCAGATTATCAGTGTAAATCAGCACAGCAATGTCAATGAGGTTTTGCTTCGTCATGCCAGTTGAGGATCTGGTGCCAAGTATTTAATAGTTCCCTTTTAACAAAATTATGCAGTATATTGTAAGATGGGAGTGGAAGTTAGTGGGGTTTCCCAGGCCCTTATGTTTGCTTAAATATATCACTTTTTGTAGCTGAGCTCAACTTAAATTAGACATTTCTGCAAGTAACAGCCATCCAGAAATTTTAAAAATCAGCTATGTAAGCCTTACATCAACACACATATGCTGGGATGGAGTAGTTGAACTTCCTGTCATCTAATTATTAAAATGACATAAAATCACTAGATAAATAGGTGGCATTAATCTCCCAGGGATGTCAATCTACCACTTTTCATAAGCATGAGAAAAATTACTGTTATTAAAAGTTAATGTTGACCTGAGTATTCTTTTCTTATTTAGAATGCTTAATAGATCTTGAACCAGTGCTGAGAACATTTGATGAGATATCTATGCTTGAAGCAGTAGTTCTCTTAAAGAGAGATAAGGTAAATAGCTTTTATTACAATGTAATATGAAAATACACTGAAATGGCAACTTGTGCTTGTCACAGTGTAACTAACGTAAGAATTGAGTCCAGCCTGGCCTGGCCTGGTAGATTTATAATGCACAACTAATAAGAATACCAATGTTTCTTTCAGTCAAAATATGAGTCTCAATGTATTCGCTTCAGTCACAAGACATCCGATGTGGAGCTGACATCTGTAAATATACCTCTGAATCTTAGTCCACAGGAGGTAAATCTTTTTCTTCTTAATTTTGAATTCAAGTTCTTTCCCAAATGTGTTGGGGTAACTAAAACATTTTGAAATGGTTTTTAGTTCAGTATGGGGAAAACTTTTCTCCCCCTCCTCTTCTGCAGCTGCACAGCCATGAAACGCATAAAAGCAATGAAACTAGCAGAGTCAGTGGGGCAGGCAGCGGTAGGAAAGTCTGTTTCTATCTTCTGCACATCAGAGTGCAGTGTTTGCACAACAGCATGGATGGAGTTAGTTGTGGGTGGCCCAGGGGAGCTGGAAGACATGACCATGTTATCCTCTGAATATAGGGAGCACACACATACCTCTACAGAGAATGTAGCAGACCACATCTGCTGCAACAGCCTGTTCTTTGCCACACGATGGGCGATTTCGGGTCGGAAGAGATGATTTCATCCCCCACTCCCACTGATGTTGCTCAGGATTTGTTTTTAAATTATTGTGTCCCTTAGTGCTGCTTCTTTTCATTCTTACTACTAATAATTAAAATAGCATGTAATATCTTGGGCAGATGCTGGAAGAACATTTGCATTTGGTTTTTAACTTCTGTTAGGATATAGATATTCAAGCCTGTCTGTAAAGGCCTATACTTGAAGAATTTAGGTAT